TGGAGCCTGTATTATAAAGACCCAGATCATAAAACATAGAATAATAGGGTTAAGGGACCTTGGAATCATCTTGGCTAATTCTGTATTATGAGATCTTAAAACAAACCGATTTTAATGCCCAAATATTAATGCCTTATTTAACACATTAACCGCCACAAAATCAACAAATTGAGACTCAACAGTATAATCACATTTCTGTCCACTCCAAAGAAAGGTTAACTGAATTAAATAAGATTTATTCCCAGACAGGTATGTACAGGGTTACAATTTAACCTTAGTCCACCTCAAACCACTTCCAATTTCTATGCAAATCGGTTTTACGTGCGTACCTGTGGTTTTTCAAAAAATGAACTTCTTCCTTCACAATATACACCCAGGGTAAAGCCAACAACTTACAGCCGTCTTTTCAAAATATTTTTTTTTGAAAAAAAACGTTCACAATGAGCTCACTCAAACTCTTCGCTCAATGCTACTCCTCTACAATTCTCATCCATCTCTTCCCACCACCTCTAGCAAGGAGACGCAAAAAAATCTTAAAATACAGAAAAATCGACACACGCAATCTAAAAAGAAGCTCACCTACCCACAGTAAAATCCACCGGTTTCTTAACATGATGGAAAGTTTCAAATCTGACTGCCATTCTGTTTGAAGGCACTCCTTCAATCCGTGGCCATTCCTTCCTGTTTGCAATTCTCTTCTTACATGTAGTAGGATCGTGTCTCGTCCCTCTTCTCGACAACGCTGTATTACGACCAGCTTTGGGAAGAGTCCGGAGCGGCAGTGCGAAAGCGCACGACCAATCAAGATCCTTTGCATTTGAAACTGACAGCGCTGGCCGCGTCGTTATTTGCTATTGTGCACAAACTTAAGGGATCATACGCCGAGAGAATGTACCTTAGCAAAGAGCACTGCTATCGGCCAGAGCTGTGATTGATTTACACCTCTTTCGTTCCAAAGCTGCAACTCGGCCATTAGCTATTTGATCGAAACACGATCAGTTACTACAAGGGTAGCTTGGTGTTCGTTGTTCATTGGTTTTGGGAGGCGTGATGAGGGCCAAAAATGGGGGGTATCAAACGAATTTTTCCCATAAGGAATCAATCAATCAGAATAGACCTTGGAGATCTTCTAGTCTAACACTCTGCTCAAGCAGGAGATCCTATACCAGGGGTCTTCGAACGTGGCCCTTTTATGACTTGTGGACTTCAACTCCCAGAATTCCTCAGCCAGGCACTCGTGCCTGGCTGAGGAATTCTGGGAGTTGAATTCCACAAGTCATAAAAGGGTCAGGTTTGAAGACACCTGCCCTATACTATTTCAGACAAATGGCTGTCTAGACCAGTGGTTCTCAACCTTTTTAATGCTGCGACCACCCAACCGGTCGTAAGTCGAGGACTACTCAACCGATCGTAAGTCGAGGACTACTCAACTGGTGCAGCACCGTTGGCAGAATGGGACTTTTGGCGGGCTCAGCAGGGCAGAGACAGCCTGGACAATTCCTATTGGCTTTATGTAAGAAGCCAATAGAATAAAAGGGAGTAGCACAGTTAAGGAAAAGGGGGGAAAAAATGGCAGACTGCATTGTTTGGCAATCCCCGTGAAATGGTCGTTCGACCCCAAATGGGATCCCGACCCACAGGTTGAGAACCACTGGTCTAGACTCTTCTTAAAAGCCTCCACTGTTGGAGCACCCACAACTTCTGGTAGCAAGCTGTTCCACCGGTTAATTGTTCTCAGTATCAGGAAATTTCTCCTAGGTTGCTTCTCTCCTTGGTTAGTTTCCATCTGTTGCTTCTTGTCCTGCCTTCAGGTGCTTTGGAGAATAGCTTGACTCCCTCTTCTTTGGGGCAGCCCCTGAGATACTGGAATACTGCTATCGTGTCACCCCTAGTCCTTCTTTTCTCTAGACTGGCCTAATGTAATGAATGACAATACAGCCAACACCAACAAGTTCTAGCTTGTGCCTTGAGTAACAAACAGACAATGAGTATCAGGAAAAAATTGTCATGTCAAAATCTGATGAGTTTCAAAGCAGTTGAGTATCAAGGGACCACAGTAGTTTAATACAGGGGTCCCCAACCTGTGGGCCGTGGCCTACCATTTCTACATTGCAATATGTAAAATCAGTAAATAAAATCTCTTTCAGGCTAGATTCTTGGTGACTTCATGGACATACAGTATTTTTCTCGGTAACAATATAGAAATTTTATTTTCTGGGGTGTTTTTGAACTTCCCACTTTAGCCTGCAGCCCTGGGGTTTCTTTGTTAGGCTTCTATTAAAGTACAGTGGTACCTTGAAAATTGCTTTGAAATTCATCGAATTTGGTACCGAACGTGAAAATTTTGTTACGGTGTTCATCATTTGTTCGGTACTCAGCGCACAAGCTAGAACTTGTTGCTGTTACCTGCCTTGTGACTCACTATAGCAGTGGTTCTCAACCTGTGGGTAGGGACCCCATTTGAGGTCGAACGACCATTTCACGGGGGTAGCCAAACAATGCAGTCAGCCATTTTTTCCCCCTTTTCCTTAGCTGTGCTACTCCCTTTTATTCTATTGGCTTTTGAAAGCCAATAGAATAGACTCTCTTGAATAGAGGCTAATTCTATTGGCTTTCAAAAGCCAATAGGAATTGTCCAGGCTGTCTCTGCCCTGCTGAGCCCGCCAAAAGTCCCAGTCTGCAAACGGTGCTGCACCAGTGGAGTAGTCCTCAACTTACGACCGGTTGAGTAGTCCTCAACTTACAACCAGTTGGGGGGTTGCGGCATTAAAAAGGTTGAGAACCACTGCACTATAGTATTCCTTAGGAAAAAATATTTCTTTGTTACTGATCATTTTTGATATTCATTGTGCTTCCCGGAACCAATTAATGATGAGTACCAAAGTACTAAATAGGTTTGATTGTGTTTAGATCAACCAATGTTAGTTAAATGCTGGCATCTAGTTTCATTAAGCCAGCATGAAATTGCCCACAAGCAAATCTAACCTCATATACATTTATGGACTCTTTTAGTTGCTGTAATGGATCTTTCTAAATCAGAGGTCTTCAGACTTGGCCTTTTTATGACCTGTGGATTTCAACTCCCAGAATTCCTCAGCCAGCATGCCTGACTGAGGAATTCTGGGAGGGGCCTTCAAACTTGGACCTTTTGTGACTTGTGGACTTCAACTCCCAGAATTCCTCAGCCAGAGTACCTGGCTGAGGAATTCTGGGACGGGTCTTCAAACCTGGCCTTTTTATGACTTGTGGACTTCAACTCCCAGAATTCCTCAGCCAGCATGCCATTGTTTCTCGTCCTTCCCTCTGGGGCTTTGGAGAACAACGTGACCCCCTCGTCTTTTTCTCCCATTCTGACCTGCCATTCCCACCAAGGAATGGTCCTCAATCTACCGGCCCAGCCAAACATTACAAAGCAAAGTTTACTCTTTGGTGTTACAAGTCTCTCCTTCTCATGCCTCGTGCTTGCACTCCAGGAGGAAACAAGCAGAAGGCTGGGCTTCGACATGCTCAATTACACATAGTCCTCGACTTACAACAGTTTCGTTTAGCGACCGCCCGAAGTTACAACGGCCCTTCAAAAAAGAGACCTACGGCTATGTTTCACACTTACGACCGTGGCAGCATCCCCAGGGTCACACGATTTACGTTCCGATGCTTGGCAACTAGGATCATATTTATGACGGTCGCAGTGTCCCGGGATCACATAATAATAATAATAAAGTTGGAAGGGATCTTGGAGGTCATCTAGTCCAACCCCCTGCTCAAGCAGGAAACCTTAGACCATTTCAGACATGATCCCCTTTTGTGACCTTCTGACAAGCAAAATGCGGGAAGCCAGATTTCACGTAACCGTGTTACTCATTTAACGACTAGGGCGATTCACTGAACAACTGCGGCAAGGAAGGTCGTAAAACTGGGCCAACTTAACAAATTTCTCACTGAGGAACAGAAATGTGGGGCTGAACCGCGTCCTAAGTCGAGGACTGCCTGTCCCTTCCGCAGAGCAACAGAGCGGGTGTGCCCCACCCTCTTGCAAGGCACGGAGAGCCAGGGCTGCGCATTCATTCACAAAAAAAAGGACAGTTCTCGCCAAGATTTATGAATGGCCACCTGTACCCAGCTTCCTCCCCAGAGCTGGGAAGCTCTTTGCTTTTGGTTAAGGCGGAACCTAGTCATTCTGCAAAGGGGGGAGGGGGAGGTTGGCCCGGCCCGGCTTGGGGTTTAGGGGGAAGGCAGTGTGAACCCCCCACCCGGAGGCTCGGCTGAGCTCCTGTTTTGCATCCATTTGCTCAATGGAGGGGGAGTGGCAGCCTCCGTCGCCTCCTCCTCCTCCTCCCCTTGCTCCAATTTCTCCTTCTCCTCCAATTCCCCTCCTCCAATTTCTCCTTCTCCTCCTCCTCCAATTCCCCTCCTCCAATTTCTCCTTCTCCTCCTCCTCCAATTCCTCCTCCAATTTCTCCTGCTTCACCTTTTCCTCCCCCTTCTTCTCCTCCTCCAATTTCTCCTTCTCCTCCTCCTCCTCCCAATTTTTTCTCCTATCCCTTCTCCTTCAATTCCTCCTCCTCCAATTTCTCCTTCTCCTATTTCTCCTTCTCCTTTTCCTCCTCCTCCTCCAATTTCTTCTCCTTTCTCTTCTCCTTCAATTCATTCTCCTCCAATTCCTCTTCCAATTTCTCCTTCTCCTTTTCCTCCTCCTTCATTCCCTCCTCCTTCATTTCCTCCTCCTCCTCCTCTTTCTCCTTTTTCCTCCTTCAATTCCTCCTCCTCCTCCTCCTCCTCCTCCTCCAATTTCTTCTCCTTTCCCTTCTCCTTCAATTCATTCTCCTTCAGTTCCTCCTCCTCCTCTTTCTCCTTCTTCATCTTTTCCTCCTCCTCCTGTTCCTCCTCCTCCTATTTCTCCCCCTCCACCTGCCTCCGCGCAAGGAGGGGCGCTCCACCGCCTCCCCGCCTCGCCTTCTCCTCCCCAGCCGGCGACCCTCCCGCCTGCCCGCCCGGCTTACCGGCGAATTCCTCCTCCTCCTCCTCCTCGCCGCTGCTCTCGGAGAGGCTCCGCAGCGGCTCCGGCGAGAAGTTCACCCCGCGGCCCTCGGCGGGGGCGCCGTCCAGCTGCAGGCGGCTCCCCGGCGCGGGGGCGGCGGCGTTGGCCCGGCCGGCTCCCCGCGGGAGCCCCGCCGCCCCTCCCGCGGCCTCCGCCTTGAGGCGCTGGAAGTAGCGGAGGGCGAAGTCGAGCAGGTCGGCCGGCTGGCTGCGCAGCACCTCCAGCGTGAAGCTCTGCAGCAGCTCCCGCAGCCCCTCCGGCACCGAGACGCTCATGCCGGGCGGGCGGGCGGGAGGGGCGGGGCGGCGCCCCGGGCCCCGCGGCGGGGAAGGCGAGCCGGCGCCGCCGATCGACCGGCCGGCCGGCCCCGAAGCGCTCCGGAGAGGCCGGCGGGGCTGCTTCCCTCCGGGGCTTCCCCGCGCTCGGCAGCCGGCCGCGAAGAAAGAGCCGGGCCCGCCCGTGACGGCAGCAAGCCGCAGCCCCGCCCCCTCCCGCCGCCGCCGGGGGGGAGGGGGGAGAGCGGGCGCGCGCGCGCGCGCAGGCCGCCCGGGGACACCATGGCAACCGCCCCCACGCGCGCGCGCGTCTCCTCCGTCCGCCCTGCGCTGCTGCTGCTGCAGATGCAAACGGCGGGTGGATGGAGGGGGGAGGGCGGGGAAGGGGGGAGATTCCCTCCCGACGTTGCCTCTGAGCATGTGGGGAGTGCTTTGCGCCAGGGAGCGTGGCGGGGGGAAGGGGGAGGGAGAGGCTGGGGGAAGCCTCCTTCACGACGGTGCCTCTGAGCATGTCCGGAGCGCTTTGCCCCAGGGAGTGTTGCTTGTGGAAGGGGGGGAGGGGGGAAGAGGGTGGGTGTAGCCTCCCTCCCGACGTTGCCTCTGAGCATGTGGCGAGTGCTTTGCCACAGGAAGCGTTGAGGGTGGATGGGTGGGGAAGTGGGGGGGAGAGGCTGGAGAAGCCTCCCTCCCGACGTTGCCTCTGAGCATGTGGGGAGTGCTTTGCCCCACGGAGCGTGGCGGGTGGGAGGGAGAGGCTGGGGGAAGCCTCCCTCCCGACGTTGCCTCTGAGCATGTCCGGAGTGCTTTGCCCCAGGGAGCGTTGCTTGTGAAAGGGGGGGGGAGAGGGCGGGTGTAGCCTCCCTTCCGACGTTGCCTCTGAGCATGTCCGGAGTGCTTTGCCAGGGAGCATTGCGGGTGGATGGTTGGGGAAGTGGGGGGGGAGGCTGGGGAAGCCTTCCTTCCGAGTTGCCTCTGAGCAAGTGCAGAATGCTTTGCCACAGGGAGTGTTGCAGGTGGATGGGTGGAGAGATTGTGGGTAGTCTCCCTCCCGACGTTGCATCTGAGCAAGTGCAGAGTGCTGTGCCACAGGGAGCGTTGCGGGTGGATGGGTGGGGGTGAGAGACTGGGGGAAGCCTCCCTCCAGACGTTGCCTTTGAGCATGTGGGGAGTGCTTTGCCGGGAACTAGCACTGCTAAGTGTCTGGAGATGCTCAGCCACATCCAGGTCAGGGTTGTCCCAAAAGGTGCTTTTTGTCAAAAGGCAACTGGACTTTCTTCGCATTAGAATGGAATAGAATAGAATAGAGCTGGAAGGGACCTTGGAGGTCTTCTAGTGCAGCCCCCTGCTCAAGCAGGAGAACCTATAGGGTTAGGGTTAGATCACCATGAACTCAGAGAGCAAAATGGACATCACCAACAAATTCAGAGCGCTTGGGTATGGTTAGGAGGACACTGACTTTTCTAGGCTGCCCTATCTATGTTTCCTGGTAAAATTCATGGGAAAATCCCATTGGAGGAAAATTCCACTTAGGGTTAGGGTTAGGTCACCATGAACTCATAGAGCAAAATGGACATCGCCAACAAACTCAGTGTGTTTGGGTATGGTTAGGAGGGCACTGACTTTTCTTGACTGCCCTATCTATGTTTCCTAGTAAAATACATGGGAAAATCCCATTGGAGGAAAATTCCACTTAGGGTTAGGGTTAGGTCACCATGAACTCATAGAGTAAAATGGACATCGTCAACAAATTTGGAGTGCTTGGGTATGGTTAGGAGGGCACTGACTTTTCTAGGCTGCCCTATCTATGTTTCCTGGTAAAATTCATGGGAAAATCCCATTGGAGGAAAATTCCACTTAGGGTTAGGGTTAGGTCACCGTGAACTCATAGAGCAAAATGGACATCGCCAACAAACTCGGAGTGCTTGGGTATGGTTAGGAGGGCACTGACTTTTCTAGCCTGCCCTATCTATGTTTCCTGGTAAAATACATGGGAAAATCCCATTGGAGGAAAATTCCACTTAGGGTTAGGGTTAGGTCACCGTGAACTCATAGAGCAAAATGGACATCGCCAACAAACTCGGAGTGCTTGGGTATGGTTAGGAGGGCACTGACTTTTCTAGCCTGCCCTATCTATGTTTCCTGGTAAAATCATGGGAAATCCCATTGGAGGAAAATTCCCTTAGGGTTAGGGTTAGGTCAACATGAACTCATAGAGCAAAATGGACATCGCCAACAAACTCAGTGTGTTTGGGTATGGTTAGGAGGGCACTGACTTTTCTAGCCTGCCCTATCTATGTTTCCTAGTAAAATACATGGGAAAATCCCATTGGAGGAAAATTCCACTTAGGGTTAGGGTTAGGTCAACATGAACTCGGAGAGCAAAATGGACACCGCCAACAAATTCGAAGTGCTTGGGTATGGTTAGGAGGGCACTGACTTTTCTAGCCTGCTCTATCTATGTTTCCTGGTAAAATACATGGGAAAATCCTATTGGAGGAAAATTCCACTTAAGGTTAGGTCACCACTCATAGAGCAAAATGGACTCCATCCATCCATCCCATGATCAAGTCATTTCAATTTGTGTGCTTCACAGCCAGATTCCAACAAGTAAACTTAATTAAGATGCTAGCAGTAAAATTGGAAGTCGCAGTCACATGGCGTCTCCTTTAGCGACCGTGGGTGATTCATTTAACAACAACATCACTTAAGAGTTGCCGATCAAAATTGGGGTAATTGAGGACTTGCCATTGTTGATATTTCACTCCAGTAAAACAGGATGCTGTTTTCAGCAATTGAAACATGCTCTTATCATTTTTAAAAGTTTCCTAGGAGAATTAAACCACAAAAATGTACCTATTAAAAAGGGGGAACAAAACAGAATTGAGATATATCAGCCTGGAAAAAAAACATTGTCTAAAAAAAAAAGGAGACGACCTATCCTGGTTGATTAAAATATGAAACTTTTTCTAAAATGTCGGTAGAAAGGACAGAACAATTTTGCATAATAAACTAGGACAGCCTTAAGCAATCTTAAAGTTGCTACTCAATCTCTGCGACCTTAAGATGTGTGGACATCAACTCCCCCGCTGATCTAGTATGACATATTAAATCAATTGTCCTAATATGAATTCACATTTTTTTTAAAAAAAAAATATCCCTTAAAAGTGGCAGTTTTCAAATTCACAAGGGACCTGCTGAGTTGCTAATACAGTTTTTCGGCATTAAGTTGAAATAATCGTGCAATTGATTTTGGGGGGATAATCCTTCCTGCTTACGTCTCAGCGGGATGATGATGGGAGTTAATCTGTTTTTAATGCAACGTGTTCATTATTTTCAGTTAGTGTGTGTGTGTGTGTGTGTGTGTGTGTGTGTGTGTAAATGCCCTTCACTAGTTATGGGCTGCTTTGAGTTTGCTATTTTTTAAAATAAAAAATAAAAAAAATGCATGTTCCAACACAAACGCTAATAGTTCAGCACCACTGGAGGCCATTAGATGGGTGAAAGATTTAAACGTTTGCAACTTGAGCCCAAAATTTCTGTTGCTAAGTCAGAGAGTTGTTAAGTGAGTTTTGCCCCATTTTATGCTCGGTTATTAAGTGAATCACTGCAGTTGTTGAGTTAGCAACACAGTTGTTAAATGAACTTGGCTTCCCCATTGACTTTCCTTGTCAGCTGGTCGCAAAAGGGGATCACACCACCCTGGGACACGGCAACCGTCACAAACAAGTCAGTTGCCAAGTGTCCGAATTTTGATCACGTGACCGCAGGGATGCTGTAACGGTCGTAAGTCTGAAAATTGGACCTGTTGTAAGTCCAGGACTACTAATACATGAACTGGCTTTGTTTTTGTCTGATGCTCATTGTCAATCTCTAATATGGATGTAATGCTTAATAAATATTAATGGATGCAACCAATCTTCCTCCTCCTTTTCACAATTTTGTGAACCTCTTTGTGACTTAAAAGCATCTTCCTTCCGTCATCAAGCCACCACTGTCTTCGTTACAGTGATTTTTTCACACAACCCTGTGGGTCAACTCTAAAAGTTGCTCTCTGTACACATTGAGCAAGGGGAATTTACCTTTTAGTAGCAGCAAAAGCAAAACAACAAAGGACATTTCCATTTTAAATCTTCTTGTGTCGTTTAGTTATGAGTTATTTTAGTAGACAGGGCACCCCAGGAAGATTGTGGACAATCCTACAATGCAGTAAAAAAAATTCTTTCACAAAGACTCTACGTGATAACCGAGAGAAAAGAGAAGTCCTTGACTTATGATCATAATACGATACGGTATATCCAACAATTTTGATCTTAAGCTGTGACAGGCATAAAGGGGATCATCGCGTGAAAAGCACTTGATTCTACAAACTTTTTTGTAAAAATTGTAAACCTTAAGTGAACACCGCAGTCATTAAGTGAACCTGTGTGTTTTTGCCGGAAACTGGAAGAAAATGTTGGTGCCTAGCAAAAATGTTGTAAATCGAGATTGTGTTGGTAGTTGTCTTAGACCAGTGGTTCTCAACCTGTGGGTCGGGACCCCATTTGGGGTCGAACGACCATTTCACGGGGGTCGCCAAACAACGCAGTCTGCCATTTTTTCCCCCTTTTCCTTAGCTGTGCTACTCCCTTTTATTCTATTGGCTTTTGAAAGCCAATAGAATAAACTCTCTTGAATAGAGTCTAATTCTATTGGTTTTCAAAAGCCAATAGGAATTGTCCAGGCTGTCTCTGCCCTGCTGAGCCCGCCAAAAGTCCCATTCTGCAAACAGTGCTGCACCAGTTGAATAGTCCTCGACTTACGACCGGTTGAGTAGTCCTCGACTTACGACCGGTTGGGGGGGGTCGCGGCATTAAAAAGGTTGAGAACCACTGTGTTAGACCATTAGTAGTTCATAATTGCCTAACGCCCCAAATGTGATCACATGATTGCAGGCAGCTTACCAGATGTTGAACTTCAAATCTGGATCTTAAAGAGTCCCATTTTTGGGGTCTGTCATAACTTTGAACGGACATTAAGCCATCAGTTTTTTTTTGGAATTTTCTGCATTATTCCCAGCCGTGTTAGATGTTTTGCACCTTATTCTAGGTGTTAAATTTGCTCCGTGTCTCATTTGCATTTACTAGAGACAGTTGTTGTACTGAAATTCAGGTACTTCGTCAGCTCTTTGCATGTGCAAATATTGTTTATGCAGGATGAAAAAAGGAAGTCAAGCTATTATTCCTGACAAATGTATTTTAAACAGCACATTCAGATTATAAAATGCAAAACTGCTCGGGAGGCTTATGAAAATATTTTGAAAAATCCACGTGTTCTCTAGGCGGGCAGCAACTTTTTATTTCAGTCGCCTGTGTTGTCGACTAAAAATATTTCCATATGAAAAAAAACTTCAATAGAGGTTTTTCTACTGAAGGAAACCAAGAAAAAAAAAGGCCTTAAATTAACCCAAATATTGTCTTTTCCCCAGAATTCTGTACCATTGATCAGAGTTCAGTTGCTTATCTTCAAGACAAAGGCGATTCACTGCAGCAAGTCTTCAACTTACGACCATGACTGAGTCCAAAATTTCTGTTGCTAAATGAGACATTTGTTAAACGAATTTTGCCCCATTTTAGGACCTTTCCTGCAGTTGTTAAATTAGTGAAACGGTTGTTATAGGAGATCCCTCCACAATGCAACGTTTTTGGATTCAGCTTCTATCCATTGCAGCCTGGACTGTGGTTAGGGATGATGGAATCAAACATTTCAATATTTATATTCCCTAAGGCAGGGGTAGGCAACCTTGGCTCTTTTATGACTCATGGACTTCAACTCCCAGAATTCCTGAGCCAGCATGGCTCAGCTTGGAAACCTCTCGCTTTCCCCTCAGCATGGCTGACTCGGAAATTCTGGGAGTTGAAGTCCACGAGTCTTAAAGTTGCTAAGGTTGATGACCTCTGGTATAGGGCAAGGGTGGGGAACCTTGGTTCTTTTATGCCTCGTGGACTTCAACTCCCAGAATTCCTAAGCCAGCCATGCTGAGGGGAAAGGGAGAGGTGGCTCAGGAATTCTGGGAGTTGAAGTCCACGAGTCATAAAAGAGCCAAGGTTGCCTACCCCTGTCCTAGACCATGTCAGACAATGCTGGCTTAGTGATATGCAGGCTCTCATCTGCTCCAAAATCCAGATTCTAATGAGCCTTCTGCAGAGAGAGCCTGTTCCTGGAAACCGCATCAAGCAACTACCAACAAGCCCCTTGCCAAAGGATTTATCTACGGTCCTCAACTTACAATGCTTCATTTAGAGGCTGTTTAAAGTGATAACAGCAGTGGAGAAAGGAACTTACGACTGTTTTTTCCACTTAGGATGCTGTAGCATCCTGGTGTTTATGTAATCAAAATTCGGAAGCTTGGCAAGTATTTATGACATTTGCAGCGTCCCTGTGTGTGTGTGTGTGTGTGTGTGTGTGTGTGTGTGACGTGATCCCCTTTTGCGACCTTCGGGCAAGCAAAGTCAATGGGGGAAGACAGATTTCACTTAACAATTTAAGAACTGCAGGGATTTCCTGAACCACTAAGCAAGGAAGGCCGTAAAATGAGGCCAAGCTCACATTTAACAATTGTCTTGCTTAGCAGCTGGAATGTGGGGGTCATAAGTTGAGGACTACCTGTACTGCAGTGCCCTATTTAGGCAGAATGTTTTTCTACGCCTTGCTTGATTCCGAGCACCAGATGGAGAAACCAGTTGAACTGCACTGTCCAGCCTTTGTCCCGGCAAACCTCAATCTGGTCGAGAAAATACTTCTTCGCGTCGTCTTCGTGCTTGCCGACCGTCAGCGCATCGCGGATATATTCGATGTCTTCCTTGCTGGTCAGCTGGGGCATCCCCGTCATGAGCATCATGGAAAAGAGGATGATGAGGAGATTGCTGTGTTTCCGAAGAGCGAGATAAGCCCGCACGCAAATATCCTGCGGAACAAACAAACGAAAAAACATATCCCAGTCAAATGGCAAGCAAAGTCAATGGAGGGGAAGCCAGCTTTGCCGAAGGACCCCTCGTTTCACTTAACAACTTTAGTGATTCACTTAACAACCGCTGCAATAAAAAAAGGGTGTAAAATCAGACATGATTCACTTCATAACTGTCTGGAAAGTTTGGACTCAATGGTGGGTCATAAGTCAAGGGCTACCTTTATCCTCAGTTCTGTGTTTCAAGTGGTACATTTGCTTTAGGGAAGTACGCCATCGTGCATTTTTAAATCTCAAAAAGGGGTCTAGTGCTTATGAAAAGAAGCCTCTAAAAACAACCTATCTATCAGCTGCCAGGAACTGTAGGGAGGGGGAAAGGGGGCATGGTTGGGGAACTGAAAGTAAGGGCTGTGTCTTCTCCAGAGGCTGCTTCAAGGTTGGAAGAAGGAAGAGGCCGCATAGCCAACTACCGTAAATGCCAGCGTATAAGGCGACTTCCGCGAGCGCTGAAATCGGCGCCAAAGACGGGGGTCATCTTATACGCCGAGTCGTCTTATACGCCGGAAATACTGGTAGTTTCCGGCATATAAGACGACATTCTAGGAATGCGGCCCGGCTATAAAGACGGGGGTCGTCTTATACGCCGGGTCGCCTTGTACGCCGGCATTTACGGTACACTTGGACTGTCTGTCAGGCAAACGTCTTGCCTGAACCAATTGGTTAAACTGGGGGGGGAGCAACGAGAGACAGCTAAGGGAGGGAAAAGCAGAATTTAGACATTTTGGTGCCCAATTTTCAGTTCTGGCTTTGCAATACTGCAAAACACTTGACCTCTAAAAAAATTACACCTTTCTCAACAAATGGAGCCAAGGATCGATTCTAATTAGGGGTTTAAGCTGTGGCAGGTCTGACACTACCGCCTTCTAAAAAAAAAAATATTATTATTTTTTTTACACCACTGGATGAGAACGATTATAACCTTTTAAAATCCATCAAGTTACATCAGCGAGGTTTACGTCGTGCCCCTGATTACCTGGAAATTCTGAAAACGCAGACTCGTTTTCTTTCCGGAAGTCCCCATGACAAAAAGAAAATCGGGTGTTAAGACGAAAGGAACTCTTTCCTTATTAATTCCAAGGAAGCTTTTGTAATTGCCAAGAATATGGCCAAAGTCAATATGAAACAGATTACCTTGGGAAGAAAACAAAAAAAAAACAAAAAAAAATCAATATTATGCCGGGCAATTAAAAACACATCGATTAGGATGACTTGCTGCAAAAAAACTTTATTGGGCCTTCCCTCTGTTATGTTTTGTTTAGCAACCACTCAAAGTTACGATGGCACTCAAGAGTTTTTCACACTTATGACCGATGCAGCATCGCCAAGGACATGTGATCAAAATTTGGACGCTTGGCAACTGACTCGTATTTACGACCGTTGCGGTGTCCTGGGGTCACGTGATCCCAGTGGTTGGATTCAAATACCTGAACCACCGGTTCTCTTATTTGATGCAGGTCTGGGCCTCTGACGCCTAGAACAGACTTCCGGAAGTAATAGTAATAGTAGTAAAGTTGGAAGGGACCTTGGAGGTCATCTAGTCCAACCCCCTGCTCGGGCAGGAAACCCTACGCTATTTCGGACAAATGGCTGTCCAGTCTCTTCTTAAAAACTTCCAGTGTTGGAGCATTTACTGCTTCTGGAGGCAAGCTGTTCCACTGATTAATTGTTCTCACTGTCAGGAAGTTTCTCCTTAGTTCTAGGTTGCTTCTCTCCTTGATTAGTTTCCACCCGTTGCTTCTTGTCCTGCCTTCAGGTGCTTTGGAAAATAGCTTAATTCCCTCTTCTTTATGGCAGCCCCTGAGATATTGGAATACTGCTATCATGTCCCCCCTTGTCCTTCTCTTCGTTAAACTAGACATACCCAATTCTCGCAACCGTTCCTTATATGTTTTAGCCTCCAGTCCCCTAATCATCTTTGTTGCTCTTCTCTGTACTCTTTCTAGAGTCTCAACATCTTTTTTACATCGTGGTGACCAAAACTGGATGCAGTATTCCAAGTGTGGCCTTACCAAGGCATTGAAGAGTGGTATTAATACTTCACGTGATCTTGATTCTATCCCTCTGTTAATGCAGCCTAGCACTGTGTTGGCCTTTTTGGCAGCTGCAGCACACTGCTGGCTCATATTTAAGTGATTGTCTACTAGGACTCCGAGGTCCCTCTCACAGTTACTACTATTGAGCATGGTGGCATCCACATACTTCCGGTGGGCCACTCTAGGCCTGGGAGGCCTCCTCCAGGCCTCCGATGCCTAGAACAGACTTCCAGAAGTGGCATCCACACACTTCCGGTGGGCTGTTCTAGGCCTGGGAGGCCACCTCCAGGACTCCGAGGCCTCCTCCAGGACTCCAATGCCTAGAACAGACTTCCGGAAATGGCATCCACACACTTCCAGTGGGCCGTTCTAGGCCGGGTAGGCCTCCTCCAGGCCTCCGATGCCTAGAATGGACTTCCAGAAGTGGCATCCACACACTTCTGGTGGGCCGTTCTAGGCCTGGGAGGCCTCCTCCAGGCCTCCAATGCTTAGAACAGACTTCCGGAAGTGGCATCCACATACTTCCGGTGGGCCGTTCTAGGCCGGGTAGGCCTCCTCCAGGTCTCCGAGGCCTAGAACGGACTTCCGGAAGTGGTATCCATGTACTTCCGGTGGGCTGTTGTAGGCCTGGAGGCCTCCCAGGCCTGGAAGCCAGCCAGTTCTCCGAATTCAGGTAAATTTAGGTACCAGTTCTCCCGAACCGATGCAAAGTGGCTGAATCCCACCACGGTGTGATCCCCTTTTGCGACCTTCTGACAAGCAAAGTCAATGGGGAAGCCAGAACAACCAGGTTACTAACTTAACAACTGCAGTGATTCACTTAAAAAATCTCTCACTTAGGAACAGAAATTGCGGTCGTTAAGTCGAGGCCTATCTGCATTCTCTCCTTCCCGCACTACTTGGACATCGAACTGCTATTTTTCATGCTAACCGCAACTTATGGAGATGTTTCAAGGGTAGCCCCATGTACATCCCACTGCAGTAGTCAAGTTAGAATATCGCCAAGGCATAAATAATCATCATCACATCCAGCCTGTTCAGGAATGATGCCATCCTGATGTAGCAGTGGAAAGAGGCTTTTTGTCCCAGGCTTGTCCATGCTGTCACTCATTCAGTGTTGCCAACCTCAAAACTCACCTGATCCCGTGATCATAATGTTGTCGTTGTGCCTGTCCCCTATTCCAAGGACAAAGGTTGCCACGCAATAGCCTGCACAAGAATATACAAATCGCTCCACGGCCGCCTGAAACTGTAGAGAGAACGGCTCAGATTTGTGCCAACGGGCCGTACGCGCAAAATCAATTCCATCCAAACGGTGGCTTTTCAACCACGATCACACCTCCTATCAAGTTAGGGGCCGGCAACCCAACACCCTTCATGTTCTTGCCTATCTGTGGTTCTGACTCTTTCCCGATGATCAGACAAGGCAGAGAATTTACTAAAGAAACTCAAAGCAAAGGGGAAGTGCTTATCAACCCACAAGGTATAGCGAAAATAAACTTAAAAAAAAAAATGATCTAAAACAGGGCTTTTCAACCAGTGGTACGGGTACCATCTGTGGTACATTGGCACCTGGCAGGTGGTACACGACCATCCTAGAAAAGTGGTAGCGGGGGAGGGGAATGAGCTGAACTGGCGGCAGCACCGCACAAGCCTGAGTGAGAGACGGCTGGAGCTGCAGGGCTGTCAGGGCTCAGTGGAAGCGCCAGGATCAGCGCTTCTTCGGGACTGTCAGGGCTCAGCAGAAGCGCCAGGATCAGCACCAGGCTCCAGCTGGAGCTCAGCGCTGATCCTAGCGCTTCCGCTGAGCCCAGAAAAAGTGCAGATCAGCTGGAATGTTGCAGCATCTCTAGGGTCTTGTGATTTACATTCAGATGCTTGGCAACTGATTCATATTTATGACGGTCACAGTGTCCCAGGGTCATGTGAAGTGACCAAAACCTGCTGCAACCACCCAGCAGACGGGGGGGGGGATAAAAACCAACCCCCCCCCCACCCCTGCTGCCAATCCTCAACTGAAATGCTCACAACACTGAAAACCTCGGACAGGAGGAAGAGCGTCACCGGGCGGGCAGGCAGGTGTTTTGCTCGGCTGTGCCTTGGGGGACACTTTTTTCAGTGCCATTGTAACTTCGAACAGTCACTAAGCGAACTGTTGTAAGTCAAGGACTACCTGTACTTTATCACTTTTTTCCTTTTTTTTGTGGTCAAGTTTTTGACAGCTTGCTAGGCAACTGGTGGTACTCGGATGTTGCCATATCCTAAAAGTGGTACAATGGGTGAAAAGGTTGAAAAGCCTTGCTCTAACACAAGTGTTTCTCAACCTTGACAATTTTAAGGCATGTGGACTTCAACTCCCAGAATTCCACAGCCAGCATTGCTGGCTGTGGAATTCTGGGAGTTGAAGTCCACATGCCTTAAAATTGTCAAGGTTGAGAAACACTGCTCTAACACAAATACCGAGTAGTGAAACATATAGATTCCGGTGTCCATATGCTAACCGTAGTCATAGTGAAAGAAAAGTCACTTTTATATACTCTCTCTCTCTTTCCCTCCCTCCCTCTCTCTCTCTCTTAAGTGAATGTTCCTATCCATCCTGTGGTTTTAATTTCCAAGTTCCAGCTAATCGTCTTATGCTGGCTAGGGAATTCTGGGAGTTGAAGTCCGTTAAGTTTTAAAGTTGTCAAGGTTGGACACCTCTGAAGTACCCCATAATGGCTTACAAAGAAATAATACTTTTCAAACAGAAAGAGTAGCAACCAGGAACACTTGCCTTTTCTTCAATGACACACTTCTCCTTAAGCCACTGGTTTAGTATTTCATCTTTAAACGCCCCGGTGTTCCCAACTGTGCTTTGCTGGATTTTGGCAATCGTATTCGCATCCTTTACAATTTCAATGATGCCTGTTTAAAAAAAAAAAAAAAACGAAGCTGGGCTTGAACCAAGAGCCTCATTCCATGCTGGAAAAAAAAACATGCCATTTCTTTCTCTTTTTCTGCATCTCCAGATCTGCTACCATCAGTTTTATAAAATAGACCAGACTAAGATGTGAAATAGGTCGGAACTACAGGTAATCCTTGACTTACAGCTGCAAGTTATGGGGAGAGGAGAAGTGAGGGACAAAACTTGAAAGTTTTCGTTACTATAACCTTGTACAGTAATAAAGGTAGTGTTGGTACTCCTGGTTGGTAATTCTTGTCTACTTCTAAGTACTGAGTCACCTTATAGGAAAAATGGCCAGCATAAAATTATAGACAGACAGACGGATGGACAGATAGAGGTAGATAGGTAGATTAAAAATAAAAAAGATTGGCTTTCATCCCAACCCCAAAATATTTTTACCCCTGCAGGTCTTATGATTTTTAAAAGTATTGCCTTGGACATCTACATTTACCTATTTTATTCCCCGTAGAAATACAGCCATAAGGTAATAAACATAAATCTAAGGAATCTTCTTCCCATATCAACGCCATTATTCGAAGTATCTAATAGAAACAAAAGACAAACAGCATCCAGGAGCTATTTTAGTTTTTTTTAAAAAAAAATATCCTAGAAATGTTCACATGAATTAAATCAGTTATTTCAAATCGAATTCAAATCATTTTTTTTTTATTACAGGACGGTCCCAGACTGATTAAAACGTATTTTTTTAAAAAAGTTGCAGAGGCAGAGCTACAAAACAAAACGCACAAAATAAAACAAGTTATTTCCTTATACCGCCAAGAACCCCTCCTCAAAGGAAATGGGCAGTTAAGAAATATGAAATACATAATTCGATCATAATTCAGTCCAAAATTTCTAATTGCTAAGTAAGACAGTTGTCAAATGAATTTGGCTCCATATTACGACTTTTTTTGCCATAATTGTAGTTGTTAAGTTGGTAACACAGTTGTTAAGTGGATCTGGCTTCTCCATTGCTTGTCACTGTGACCGTCATAAATATGAGTGCCAAGCATCCAAATTTTGATCACATGACCACAGGGATGCTGCAACGGTTGGTAAGTGTGAAAAACGTCATAAGTCACTTTTTCCAGTACTGTTGGACCTTTGAACGGTCACTAAGTAAGTCTAGGGCAGAGGTAAGCAACCTTGGCTCTTTTATGACTGGAGGACTTCAACTCCCAGAATTCCTGAGCCAGCATAGCTCCGCATGGAAACCTCTCCCTTTTCCCTCAGTGTGGCTGGCTCAGGAATTCTGGGAGTTGAAGTCCACGAGTCATGAAAGAACCAAGGTTGCCTATCCCTGGTCTAGGGCTACCTATATAAACCAATAATACTATATAACTTTAAATAAATAAATGAATTTCTGCAGGCAGGAACCAAAATGGCGGCCTCAGTTTAGCAAAGCAATGATCAGGGATTTTTTGATGCGGTCTAAACATCTGGACTCCAAATTATACTATATAAACGTTGCAAAAGAATCCTGGCAAGTAGCTTGTTAAGAAACTTGCAGAACTCAAAAATAAAAACTCCCGTTCACTAAAATGCAGAAACGTCCTGTCTTCTAGGCTCATCATCTTCATCTCTGTGAATGGGATAAATATTTGTTGAGTCACCCCCAAGAAGAGGTGAAGTGTGCTTTGTATAATAAAGCTGAACATCTGGACACATGTTAATCGATCAGAGGAAATTCAAATAGTAGAAGAGACTCCATATTTTGAATATTTTTCTTTTTCTTTTTATTTATTTTTTTTTTGTCTCTTCAAGCCAGTCTTAATTCCTGGGGATTGCCTGTACAAGTCCCTGGAATTTCTTGGCAACATTTTGGAAGGGTTTTGCCATTGTCTCCTTCCTGGGGCTGAGAGACAGTGACTGGCCCAAGGTCACCCAGCTGGTTTCATGACTAGAATTCACAATCTCCAATTTCTAGTCTGAGGCCTTAATCAATACACCAAAGTGACTCTCAGTCTTCCATTTGTCAGAAATGGTGTAAAAGCAGTGGGTTAGACTAGATGACCTACAAGATCCCTTCCAACTCTGTAATTCTAATTCTAATAATTCTAATTCTAATAATTCTAATTCTAATAGTTCTAATAATTCTAATAATTCTAATTCTAATAATTCTAATTCTAATTCTTGATGGGTAGATTCAGAAATTTTGATGGTTAGGTTCAGAAATGTCATCCCAATACCAATATAAAAATAAAGTACCGTATTTTCCGGCGTATAAGACGACTGGGCGTATAAGACGACCCGACTTTTGAGAAGATTTTCATTTAGAAAGTCATCTTATACGCCGGAAAATACGGTATTTTCTGGCGTATAAGACGACTGGGCGTATAAGACGACCCCCAACTTTTGAGAAGATTTTCATGGTTTAGAAAGTCGTCTCATACGCCGGAAAATACGGTAAGTAGCAAGCTTTCACAGAAACACTGGAATTGTCCAGCATAAATATTTATATATATATATTTATATTATTTATATTTATATATATCCCTGGCTGAATATAAAGGAGGGTGTGGTACCTCAAGAAGCAATATTATTTTAGCAATCTTGCTGAGAAGATTGTTCTGGAAATCAGCTAGAAAAAAATAAGAGACTTGCTCAAGCGTTCTTTGTAATTAAAAAAAATACCTCGCCTTCAGTGTCAAAAGTTAGGGAATCTGGTGTAACAGTTTGAAATTTAGCGAAACAGGGAAGGAAGTCCAGCATGCAGAAACTGGTAGATTTCCACACAGTTTTTTGTTTTTAAAAATGGATATGAAAAAGAGGAGTGCTATTAATAAAAATGTCATTCAGTGGAAGCCGAAGGTATGCTCACTTCCAAGTCTTTTAGCAGCCACTTCTGTTTATTTCCTCTTCTTTCATAACTAAAACAGTTTGTTACTCGTTCTCACATCTCTTGGGCTTCTCTCAGCGTGTCGTAGTCGCATTACCTGTAAAATGAGCATATCCTGTCTCAGATCGTCGCCGTGTTTGAAGATGATGCCGATGGTCTCGCTGGAGAGAGAAGTTGGATCCGCACACTTGAATTCCAGCCAAAGAGGTTTTTTCTTGGATGCCATTACTTTACATTTTTCTATCTGTGACAAAAGACAGACAGTTATACATCTGTTAACCGCCAGAACTGGTGTCTAAGAATTAAAAGAGCAACTAAGATGATCCAAGGCCTGGAGACTAAAACATACGAAGAACGGCTGAGGGACTTGGGTTTGGACAGTCTAAAGAAAAGAAGAAACAGGGGAGACATGATAGCAGCCTTCCAGTGTTTGAGGGGCTGCCACAAAGAAGAGGAGGTCACGTTATTCTCCAAAGCACCAGAGCGCAGGACAAGAAACAATGGTTAGAAACTGGTCAAGGAGAAAAGCAACCTGGAATTAAGGGGAAACTTCCTGACAGGGAGGACAATCAACCAGTGGAACAGCTTGCCACCAGAAATCGTGGGCGCTCCATCACTGGAGATTTTTAAAAAGAGACTGGACAATCACTTGTTTGAGACGGTGTAGGTCCTCCTGCTTGAGCAGGGGGCTGGACTAGAAGACCTCCGAGGTCCCTTCCAGCTCTATTCTATTCTATTCTATTCTATTCTCAATAAAGATTCTCTTCTATTCTATTCTCAATAAAGATTCTCTTCTCTTCTCTTTTCTTAATATTCTCTTCTATTCTGAATAAAGATTCCATTCCATTATTCTATTCTATTCTATTCTATTCTATTCTATTCTAATTTCTATTCTATTATGTATTTCTATTCTATTCTGTATTTTTATTCTTTTCTATTCTGTATTTCTATTCTGTTCTATATTTCTATTCTGTTTTATTCTATTCTATTCTATTATTCTATTCTATTCTGTATTTCTATTCTATTCTATTCTATTCTAATTTCTATTCTATTCTGCATTTCTATTCTATTCTGTATTTTTATTCTTTTCTATTCTGTATTTCTATTCTGTTCTATATTTCTATTCTATTCTATTCTATTCTATTCTATTCTATTCCATTCCGTTCTATTCTGTTCTATTCTATTCTTAAACCAAATGACATTAAAAATGTGAAACATTTATTCGACTTTTCTAGGAGCGAAGGAATTATATTTACCACCAAGGCCCCTGCTTTGAGTCCAGGGTCATATGGAACTCTAAAACATTCTGGAAACTTGTTCTCCTGTAACCTCTCCAGCTTTTGTTTGAGCTGCGTGATGACTAAGAAAGGAGGGGGGGGGGAGAGAGGGAAAAAAAAGATTTTTTAAAAAATCAGAAACATATTTGATTAGAATGAAATGGAATGAGGAATTGCTGGCACGCGCGTGCGCACACACACACACACACACACACACACACACACACACACCGACACTGCATTTCTCCTTTAGCACATTGTTCCTCAACCTTTCCAGCTTTGTGGACTGGCGAGGAAGGAGGGGAGAGGAGATAAAATGACTGCAGAGTGATTTTCATTATCTAAATCGAGGGTCCCCAACCCCTGGTCCGTGGACCGGTACCGGACCGTGACATGCCAGCAACCGGTCCGCACAAACAAGGAAAGCCCCATCCGCGGGATGCAGGCAGCACACAAAACCACGCCCTCTCCGGTCCGTGGGAAAACCTCTCTCCACGGAAGCGGTCCCTGGTGTCCCAAAGGTTGGGGATCTCTGATCTCAATAGTCTTTCTATTTCTTAGATATAAACAGCAGAAAGCTACTCAGGAAAGCTACTCAGGAAGCTGAATCTTAAGAACAATTTTTTCTCTATAACACTCATTTTTTAAAAACACTTCGGGGTGACCGACTGAGAGGAAGAAACAATTTAATTCAATAATCCAGGCCAGGGGTAGGCAACCTTGGCTCTTTTATGACTCGTGGACTTCAACTCCCAGAATTCCTCAGCCAGCCACGCTGAGGGGAAAGGGAGAGGTTTCCAAGCTGAGCCAGGCTGGCTCAGGAATTCTGGGAGTTGAAGTCCACGAGTCATGAAGCGGCCTAGGCCTAGGCCAGAGGTAGGCAACCTTGGCTCTTTTATGACTCGTGGACTTCAACTCCCAGAATTCCTCAGCCAGCCACGCTGAGGGGAAAGGGAGAGTTTCCAAGCTGAGCCATGCTGTCTGAGGAATTCTGGGAGTTGAAGTCCACAAGTCAGAAAAGAGCCAAGGTTGCCTACCCCTGGCTCTAGGCTTATGGGGCTGGCTGGGGAATTATTGGGAGTTGAAGTCCACATATCTAGTGGCCAAGGTGGAGGAATATTAACATAGGCAGTAAGTATTCCATTTTTAAAGCTACCCGTGATAAAAATTTAAATGTTGGTTCTGTGTACGCTGCTAGATCTCTTTTTTTAATGGGGGTGGGGGAACCCACATAAAGACCCTGCAGAGCCCAAGGTCACCTCCAACACCATCACTACCACAATGGAGACCTCACTCTGGAGTTGATCTTTGGCTCTGCTAACTTAGAAACGGCCATCTACGTTTGCAATGATCTCTGATGGGGTTTTACCAATGCAGGTACAGTACAATATATTTTTGTGGGGTCCTTGGTGCCCTCTGAGCTTGGTGGCTTTCTTGCAGATGTTTCCTTACCCAACTAGGTAACGCCATCAGCGCTGTATTACCTAGGGGGGGGGGCAACGAAACATCTGCAAGAAAACAGCCAAGCTCAGAGAGCACTAAGGACCCCACAGTTCAACCCTGAGCTGCCAATATTCTCTTGTTCGTATATTTTTGGGTTTTGTTTCTTTTCAATCTGCTTTGCAAACCGACTCGTCTGGAAACCGTAGCTGTGAGGCACGGGTATCACAGACTTCGCTGCCTGTTGACGAAAAAGGAGGGAGGCAATTGTATCGGAGCCAAAAGGATGCTTCTAAAAACGGCGCCTACCTTGAGGAGTGACGTCGTACTTCTCTGCTGAGGCGGCCTTGATGTCCCTCGTGACCTTGTGCAGCAGCTCCGTCACTTGGACCTGCTTGAGGAAGTCCTTCAGCATCGCTTTACCACAGCCCCTCAGATACGCTTCTAAGATCACGGCAAACCGTTGCTGGTAATGCATGGATTGAGCAATCTCGCTTCTCAGAAACCAAAACAGGAAGTGTCCGATCCGCTTGTTCTGTGAATGGAAGAGATAGCGTCTCAGAACAGGGTTCTTCACAGATCTGACGTTTTGCAAATGCATCCACATTTCAGATAGTCCTCGACTTACGGGACCAAAATGTCTGTTGCTAAATGAGACATTCGTGAATGCACAGTCTGATTGCGCTGAGATAACCCAGGAGTACACACAGTAAACAGTGGTCTATATTAAATGGTGGTTTATCTTACACTATCTACAACGGGTCTTCACACTTGGCCCTTTTAGGACTTGTGGACTTCAACTCCCAGAATCCCTCAGCCAACATGCCTGGCTGAGGAATTCTGGGAGGAGTCTTCAAACTTGGCCCTTTTAGGACTTGTGGACTTCAACTCCCAGAATCCCTCAGCCAGCGTGCCTGGCTGAGGAATTCTGGGAGGAGTCTTCAAACTTGGCCCTTTTAGGACTTGTGGACTTCAACTCCCAGAATCCCTCAGCCAGCGTGCCTGGCTAAGGAATTCTGGGAGGAGTCTTCAAACTTGGCTCTTTTAGGACTTGTGGACTTCAACTCCCAGAATCCCTCAGCCAACGTGCCTGGCTGAGGGATTCTGGGAGTTGGTCCACAAGTCCTAAAAGGGCCAAGTCTGAAGAGCCCTGATCTACAATATCATACACCAGGAACAAAATACATACATGTACTAATATAGCAGGATCCAACCTACCACAACTACAGCAGGAAATGGAAGAGAGAGAACACATCAATGTTTCCTTTTATACAACGGCTCTTAAAGAGACACAGACCCTGCTGAGTCATTCCCACCCTTACATCTTACATTACATTAAGCTGGTTAGCTTTTAAATCATTACCTTGACATGTTTTCTTCCATTTTACAAGCTTTCTGGGCACAGTGGTTAAGGTGTTAACCAGGTGTTAAATTCGCTGCACAGTTGTTAAGCGAATCTGGCTTCCCCATTGACCCTGCGTGTCAGAAGGTCACAAAAAGGATTGCATGACCTCGGGACACTGCGATCGTCATAAATACGAGTTCATTGCTAAGACTCTGGATTTTGATCACTTTGACCACAGGGATGATGCAATGGTTGTGAAGTGCGAAAAACGGTCATAAGTCATTTTCAGTGCCGTTGTCACTAAATAAACTGATAAGTCGAGGACGACCAACATTTCATAGGATCCTAGGGCTGGAAGGGATCTTGGAGGTCTTCTAGTCCAACCCAACTAGAGTCAAGAAACAAGCTTGTAGTATATATCAGAGGTGGTGGCCCTTTGAGAGCTGCATGCAACGAAATGTCGTTTTAATGTATGCCGATTAGTGTATATCCAAAGGGACAATGAAGTTATTAAGTTATTATTCTAAGCAGACATTTGTGCAAGAATTACTGCCAAATGACTGTTTTCATCCTTGGTCTACCGGTTCAGCCAAGCGTTACAAAGCGGTCTACTCTTTGATTTCGCAACTCTCGTGTTAGCACTCCATCTGATTTAAACCTTTTCCAATACTTACTCTTAAGCCGCGCTTTAGAAGGAATCGAGCTAAGGCACTATCATGGTAAGGCTCGAATTTTACAGCCTGAAGTAGAGAAAAAAGAAGGAAAAAAAGTATTAACATGCTTTGATTTAGTTTGGAGTTCTTATTTGGAATTTCTCCTAGCCCGTAACATATCGTATATTTTTTTTTTTTAAAAAAAAGGCACGTGCAAACATTGCAGTTCAGGCAGATTAAACGTGGGCCAGCAAAACACCTGAAGAAAAGTGGGAGCATCCTCACTTACCACGTAGCTGTTAAACCCCAGGAGATGCAAGTAGTACATTTTGTGTGAATTTTAGGCAACTGCAGCTAGATACTTTTTTCCCCCCTCTTAAAATGACTGTCTTAGGGAGACTTACACAGCATATATGAGCATCGGTGAGGGACATATAATAGCAGGTGTCTTCAAACTTAGCTCTTTTATGACTTGTGGACTTCAACTCCCAGAATTCCTCAACCAGTGTGCCTGGTTGAGGAATTCTGGGAGTTGAAGTCCACAAGTCAAGGGGTCTTCAAATTTGGCCCTTTCATGACTTGTAGATTTCAACTCCCAGAATTCCTCAGCCAGGCACACTGGTGGAGGAATTCTGGGAGTTGAAGTCCACAAGTCAGGGGGTCTTCAAACTTGCCCCTTTTATGACTTGTGGACTTCAACTCCTAGACTTCAACTGCCTGGCTGAGGAATTCTGGGAGTTGAAGTCCACAAGTCATAAAAGGGCCAAGTTTGAAGACCCCTGCGCAACAGAATAGGTGTTTCTGTTTGATAATTGCTAACACAGGAGATGTAAGAAGGAATAAAACCTGATTTCAGACAACTGCCATGCCCAACACCTAACAAGATCAGATGCAACTCCCATTTGCAAATGACCCCTCATTTAAGCCTGTTCTCTGCATCCAAAGATACAGGTTGTCCTCAACTTACAACCACTGAATCCAAAATCTCTGTTGCTAAATGAGACAGCGGTTGGGTTTTGCCCCATTTTATGGCCTTTCTTGCCCCAAGTGAATCACCACAGTTGTTAAATTAGTAAGCCGGTTGTTAAGTGAATCTGGCTTCCCCCATTGACTCTGCTTGCCAGAAGATCACATCAGAAACATCCCTCTAGCTCAGTGGTTCTCAACCTTTTTAATGCCGCGACCCCCCAACCGGTCGTAAGTCGAGGACTACTCAACCGGTCGTAAGTTGAGGACTACTCAACTGGTGCAGCACCGTTTGCAGAATGGGATTTTTGGCGGGCTCAGCAGGGCAGAGACAGCCTGGACAATTCCTATTGGCTTTTGAAAGCCAATAGAATTAGACTCTATTCAAGAGAGTCTATTCTATTGGCTTTCAAAAGTTAATAGAATAAAAGGGAGTAGCACAGCTAAGGAAAAGGGGGAAAAAATGGCGGACTGCGTTGTTTGGCGACCCCCGTGAAATGGTCGTTCGACCCCAAATGGGGTCCTGACCCACAGGTTGAGAACCGCTGCTCTAGCTTACCTGAACCAGCTGTAGGAGGTAGTGAAGCACCTCGTCGTCTTCTAAGGCTTCCAACTTTTGCACAGCCATCGTTCTCACGGTTTCATCCGAAAAGTTGCAGTCCAGAAGTTGCATTGGCAAGCCGACATCCAAAGCGCTCTGGTCCCATGCGTCCCTTTTAGCTAGCAGTTGGTAAGTTTCAGCTACTAGTTCCTGCTGCCCCCATTTCACTGAACTAAGCAACTTAGGGTACGCCTTCGGGTGCTTTATGCTTTCGTACCTGAAATGCCACAATAATTCTTTGTCTTCCGGGGTGAGCGGGTTGAGGAGATCCGTAGCGATGATCTCCTCCAGCTGTTTCCGCAGCTGGTTTGGCATTTCGGCTCTGGCCCTGTCCCCTTGAGGATCCGACGCGATCTTGTGTTTGGGCAAGGCGATGGGGTGGCAGTATTTGTCCAACACAATCGAAACAGCCATGGAGTTTTCTTTATCCGGATTGGTGGCCGAAGTCAGCTTGTCCGCGTTTATGCTTCCTTGCTCTTCCCCCTTGCCCGGAATTTTCCACATGTGAAGCACGTAGTCCCCCGTTCTGAGGAGAGAGCGGTGGTCTATCAGCAAGAGGTTGACGTAGTAGAGAAGCTGAGTTTTGTACTTGGGATCAGAAGATGGCGAATCGTAGGAATGGAGGTTCCCCTTGGTGGACGGCGCCGGAGTTTTGCCGCAATATATTTGCAGGGTGAGCAACGCCCCTTTGGGAAGGTCCTTGATCTTGATGTCAAACTCAAGCCAAACGTTCCAGAGAACCTCTTCGGTAAACGGCTTCGCAGTGGTTCTCCTCTGGGAAAGGAGCTGTTGGCCATGTTGAATATTAGCCTCCACGAAGACAGTAAGGTCTGTGTTTCTTGGTAAGACGGGGATATCGATGCCGATAACCTTGACCCTGAACTTACGGTTGCAGTCCCACAAGGATATGGTGAACACCCTTTCGTGATCTTTGCCCTGGATGGTAAGTTGCTCATGATATCCCGAAACTCCGGTGCAATCATCGACCAAGGGCCATTCTTCTTTCTGAACTTCATCCTGGTTCGGGTCCGGTGGTTCATCCAGGACCAGATGAATTTCTTCCCCCTTTTTCAGATACTGTCTAATCCAGTGGAAGTTTTTGATGGGTGTCTCTCCCACAATGTACTCGTCTCGGCCACTCACTCTTAGGACAAAATCGAGCTCGCTGTAATCTTCGGGAATATTCATCAAAGACTTCTTCTTCGCCATTTTGGTGAAGAAGCTCTGAAGGATAACCTCCGGGGTATCGTCCACCCCGACTTTAATCTTCTGGCTGGTGGTTCCTCGGTGGATATTGATAAAAATAGTATTGTTGACAATTCTACTCAGCAAATATTCCGGAAGTGGCTTGGATGTAGTCCAAGGGTGCATGGAGTACAATTTGGGGTCTCGGCAGGATACTTCAATCGTCCGCGGAGTGACCAGTCTACGGCGGGCAAACTCGAGTTCGTCATCGTGCACGTTGCTCACGTCGGTGACGTCGTAGCCAATCAAATAATTGAGCTGTCTTTGGAATTCCTGAACTTCCTCCGAGGGGCTGGGCTTCTCAATCACGTGGATCTTGCCCACTTTCTTCTGCAAGACTTTCCAGTATAAGATACAATCCAGGGTCTGCATGATCTGGTGCTTGTCGTAAATTTCATACCACTGGCCCTTCTTCTGATACAGGAGGAGAAACTGATCCGGCGTGAGCTTGCGGAAGACTTCTGAGGTCTGGTGGCCTTCCATCGCCTGCATCCAGACCTGCGCTTTCATCTGCTCGACCGTGCAGTTGGTAGCAACGTCAAGGACGAGGCTGGTGGTGGGGAAAACAAACTCAATGGAGATGAGTTCCGTGGACGACAAAGTGTTGGCCGTACAGTAGGGCTTCATCCTCCTCCTCCTGCGTCGCTTGTTGTCATCTCTCATAACCACAGCTTCATCGCCGCTCTCCAACTCCATGCCACAGGAAGTCTAGGGAAATCCAACACAACGCCCGGTTATTTCTTTTTTCCCGTGGACCGTGGGAAGGGTCTGCGGAGTTTCTGCTGGATACAAGCTCAAAAATCATTTTCACACACTTTATTTATTTATTTATTTATTTATTTTCAGTATTTATATGCCGCCCAATCCCAAAGGACTCAGGGCGGCGTACAAAGTTAAAACAATGATAAAACAATAAAATAAAGCAGTCATACTGCGAGTCCGATCATATCCCGGCCCCCCCGGGGACATCAGCCCCAGGCCTGCCGGAACAGGAGGGTTTTAATGGCCTTCTTAAAGGCCGGCAGGGTGGGAGTAGTTTGAACCTCGGGGGGAAGCTGATTCCACCAGGTCGGAGCCACCACAGAAAAGGCCCTTACCCGAGGGCCCGCCGGCCGACATTGTCTGGCCAACGGGACCTGAAGGAGGCCCAATCTGTGGGACCTCACCGGTCTCTGGGAGCTATGCGGCAGAATGCGGTCCTGTAAGTAACCTGGCCCTATGCCATGAAGGGCTTTAAAGGTGATAACCAACACCTTGAATTGCGTCCGGAGACACATCAAATGAAAGCTAATCCAGTGGGAGGGGAGCCCCTTGGAATCCTTTTGATTTCCTTCCATTAATTATATTTTTTTTCTCCAACCAGACATGTATCTTAACCCAAAACTTTTCTGCTTTAGGGCAGGGGTGTCAAACTCAATTTCACTGAGGGCCGCATCAGCATTGCGGTTGCCCTCGGGGGGGGAGCAGGGGTGTGTGGCCAGAGTGGGTGCAGCCTACTGGGTGGGCGTGGATGGAGTGGATGTGGCCTACTGGGTGGGCGTGGATGGAGTGAGTGTGGCCTACTGGGTGGGCGTGGATGGAGTGGGTGTGGCCTACTGGGTGGGCGTGGCCAGTTCTACATCATTCGCATCAAGGATACCTATGGGGGCCTGTCAGGAGTGGGACAGATCTGAGGGTCTCTGGCAGAAGGGGAGGGGACCAGGGCAAGTGCCAAGGCATGGTCCACCAGGGCAAGTGCCAAGATGGCCACCATAAAATTGTACATGGGCTCCCATCCAGCCCGGGCCAGGGCCAAGGCAGCGGGGGCCGTTCCCTCACTGTTTCCAGGATGGCCTCACGGGCCACATGAAACCACTTCGCGGGTCACAACCGGCCCCCCAGGCCTTGTGTTTGACATGTCTGCTTTAGGGCATGTCCACCCGCCCAATAAACAGACAGATTTTAAACCAGAATATTTTTTTTGTTAGATGTAATAGGAGCTAACTATGTGAAGGAGAGCGGATATCTAATACGACATGTATTAACAGCAGCAAGAATTGTATTTGCCCCAGTATTGGAAAAATGAAAACTTACCAACTGAGGAGGTATTAATCAAGACAATTTTAGAATGTGGAGAAATGGATAGATTGACTTTAGAGATTAAAGAGAAAGAAGACTCAGTTTACTTTAGAACATGGGATAGCTTTTATCAATGGCTAGAAAGACGAATTAGAGAGAAAGGAAGGTGATATGTAATTCTGAATACATATTAGTAAGAAGGATGTTATGGATGGATTAATTAATACTGCTTAGGATAACTAATCATATTTACTACTGTTATCTATTATTATATTAATTATTATTATTTAAATATATGTGTTCCCAGAAAATATTCTGTTTGCTAAATATTGAAAATGTTACTGGGGGACAACCCCAACCCTGACCCCCAACCCCGCCCTAACACCAACCCTGACCCCAACCGCAGCCTAAACCTTAACCCTAATCCTGACCCCATTTTATCCCTAATCCTATAAAATCTAATAAAACTTTTTAAAAAATGATTTTTTTAAAAAAAAAAAATAAAGATAATAGTAAGTTCTAAGCAAAGAGTAGTCAAAATATCTTCTGCATTAAGCATAGCTCCTGTAAATACTGTAACTGCCCCCAAAAGGCAATTGCTAAAATAAGAACAGGGGTACGTTGATCTGTAGCTGTTGGTGTTCTCTAGAGCAGGGGTCCCCAAACCCCCCCCCCCGGGCCGCGGCATGCCAGCAACCGGTCCGCACAAAGAAGCAACGCCCCATCCACGGGATGCAGGCAGCACACAAAACCACACACTCTCTGGCCCGTGGAAAAAAACTCTCTCCACGTTACCGGTCCCTGGTGCCCCAAAGGTTGGGGACCTCTGATCTAGAGCTTGTTTTGTTGCAGACATTTCATTACCGAACTAGGTAACACCACCAGTACTAACAGGGAGTGGGATTTGCTCTCATATTTATATTTGTATATAAATTTTATATTCTAGTGGCTTACTGACAGTAAACAACAGCCCAATCAAGGGACCGTCAAGACCACTCCCTATTATAAAATAATTAACAGCGGCCTGCCTAGATCAGTGGTTCTCAACGTTTTTAATGCCGCGATCCCCTCCCAACCGGTCGTAAGTCGAGGACTACTCAACCGGTCATAAGTCGAGGACTACTCAACTGGTGCAGCACTGTTTGCAGAATGGGACTTTTGGCGGGCTCAGCAGGGCAGAGACAGCCTGGACAATTCCTATTGGCTTTGAAAGCCAATAGAATTAGACTCTATTCAAGAGAGTCTATTCTATTGGCTTTCAAAAGCCAATAGAATAAAAGGGAGTAGCACAGCTAAGGAAAAGGGGGGGAAAATGGCGGACTGCGTTGTTTGGCGACCCCCGTGAAATGGTCGTTCAACCCCAAATGGGGTCCCCACCCACAGGTGGAGAACCACTGAGCTAGATTAAATCAAAGCTCATCCACTCCAAGGACACCAGCAGCTCCTACCCAGAGGAAAGACTTTCCAAACGTATTTCGAACAACGTACCATACATTTGAGATCACCCCCGACCGATGACAAGGGTTTAAAAATTGTCTTATAATTTCCATTTTCCCACTTATAACAGACAAAATGAAGGCTGAACCCATAACAAGCTACTTCGATTAGTTCCTCCTTAATTAATAAGGACTGCATTGCTTGCCGGATGTTATTTCCCACCCACCCCCCAACAAAACTTTAGATGCTGCGATGCTTTTTTCCTAACAAATTCTTCCCCATCTTTTTAATCTCAGGAAGGTTTCGAAGCAAAAGATGAGTAGAAGCAAAAAAAAAAAAAAACCCATTTCAGGATTCCAGCAATTATTGGGTAGAATTGTTAAGTTTTCCCAAGCCCCCAAAGAAACAACCGATGAACTATTTAAACGAGAGATTTACCTGATTGGGATACAGGAGCTGCCTTGCTGCAGAAGCCTCATTTGTATAAATTTTGAATCCTGCCTGTTTTAAAAACGGCAAACAGCTCACAACAAGGAAAGTTGCTGGTTTGGGCTGAGATGTTCTGTTTTTTTGTTTTTTCTGGCTTCCTTTCATCAACCGAGGCAGCGGAAGTCTTATAACCAGGAAGGAAGTTTTCACCCACTTGGCTATAAACAAGATCGTCGACTTAAAAAAAAATAATTTTTTCAAATGCTTTTCCTGTTAGAACTGTTAAACAGAACTTTGCTTAGTTGCAACCATTAAAAGAAAAAAGACAAGAAAGAGGAACATATTTCTGAAAAAAAAAAAAAATACAGGCGGGACCGTGCCTTAAAAGTTGCTCAAGGAAGGGGGAAAAAAAATAAAAATAAAAATAGAAAACTCGTTCACTCAGTCTGGATGAAAATAGTAGGCGGTTTATTCTGCTTGATAACGATTATTGTTCTTAGTTCCCCGGGGTTTGCAAACTCGGTGACTCTTAGGAAAGCAGGCAGCAAAACCAGACTTAGGCATTTTGAAAGTTGCTATGCCAGCCTGAGGGTTCTCCGTGAGCTGCCTGTATTACTCAAGCCTGTACACAACAACCTAGTCAATTAAAGTTCGATATTTAATTGGCCCCAGATTCAGGTCAGCAGAATTCAAGAGGATTGGACTTCGACCTTTGTGGCAACATAACAAGTCTAAGCTGATGACCCGCTTAACTCCCTCCCCAGTTCTGCCTGCTCTTCTCCTACACCAGGGGTCTGCAACCTTGAACACTCAAAGAGCCACTTGGACCCGTTTCCCAGAGAAAAGGAAACACCGGGAGCCACTCTCCCTCTCTCTCTCCCTCTCTTTCATCTCCCCCCCCTTTCTCTCTCTCTCTCTCCCTCCCTCTCTCCGATCTTTTGCTCACTTGGCAAGCTGGCTTCAGGCTCTTCTCCAACAAGCTGACACATCCTTATTGGGCTGGCTCTCTCCTGCCCTTCCTGCTTCCTGCAGGGATGCAGCAAAGGGAGGAGCCCCGCCCAATAAGCTTGTCAGCTCGTCGCAGAACAGCGTGAGGCCACTCTCTTTTACAGGGAGAGAGAGAGAGGGGAGAGAGAGAGAGAGAGAGAGAGAGAGAGAGAGAGAAGGGAAGCGCAAGTGCCTCTCTCTGTCTCTCTCTCTCTTCTCTCTCTGCAAATGGCGGAGGAGAAGAAGGCTCAAAGAGCCACATGCAGCTCCGCAGCCGCAGGTTGCCGACTCATGTCCTACACCTATATACCTGGCAACAAGTCCCAAGAGTTCAGAAATGGAACCTACCAAGCAGTTGGTTGGATGATATAGTAGCAGGAAGTCTCACTTGTCCCTGTTGTCCAGCTTAACACACAGGGATTCGCACACAGTCCCTTCAGGAGCAAAGACTCTCCTAAGATCTCTCTATCCACCATCTTTCCTTGGGAGTTGAGGCTCCTGAAAGACCTGAAACCCAGTTTAGCAAGTCACCGTGGCCTAAAATCAAAGTCGATTACACCAGTCTATAACCATGCAGCTTTCTTGGCCTCAACAGGAAAGTGGATAGCCGCTAACATCTTCCAGGTTGTTTGTCTGAATCTACAGCCATGGTATTGCCTGGTGGCCTCCACTCCAGGTCTGTTCTATCTGCTGAGCTTCCAGAGATTAGCCAAAATCAGCTCAGGGTTGCCACCTAGTGGAGCTCTCCTGCTTAGCGGCAGCAACATTAATTTGGAATCGCTTTTTTCTAAAGGGAA